GAAGGAAGGAAGGAAGGAAGGAAGGAAGGAAGGAAGGAAGGAAGGAGAAACACACCAGAGAGGAAGCCAGAAGCTCCAAAAGAGTTCAGTGGGATGAATTGCATCCAGTGGCTACAGAATAACGACTGCTTCTTGATGGAGAGAGGACAGAAAAGCAGAGAGGAGAGCTGGAACAGAGTACTCAGAAAAGGGGCATGGCTGGCTGGCTGGCTGGCTGGCACCTTGAACAGGAGGTCTCCACACAGCCAAATTCTGTTGCAGGTCCCCCGATTCACTGACTAGTAGAGACACCCCTTCTTACCATACGAGCCTGGAAGAAGGTCACGGGTATTTGGATTCTGAACTCTCACTGCTTTGCCTGGACTTGTAAAGATACACACACAAGAAAAAAACACCTCCCTTGCTACAGGGCTGCCCAAAACATTTTGTTGCCCCAAGGCCAAGAAGCAAGCAACAGAAGCCCTCGCATGAGTCACAGACTAGCGTGGGCCAAGCCGGCCCCACCTTTTTGGCACCCCGAGCAGAGCTGCCCACAACCACCTCCGGCAGTAAAAATGCAGCAAGCTGTCAAAGAGAAGCCGCCAGCCAAGAAGTCACCCGCGCCCTCTCTTTGGCAACTGGCAGGACTGCTTGAGAGATCGACCTGGGAGCTCTCAGGCACCCAGGCTGCCTTTCAGGCTCAGCTTTCCCAGCTGTAATATGGGGACAGCGGCGCCAACCTGTTTCCAACCAAATTCTGATAATTATGCCCACACATGTATAGCAGGATAGACTGATTTTATGTAAATGTGCATCCCGGTTTTTAGGGGATGCTGTTCCTGTTTTGACCATTCCTAAGTGGCCATGCCAGGCTGGGAAGGGCCTTGGCAACACATTCCCCTCCTGCTAAATTCTCCATGATGCCCCGGAGTGAAGCTGCAGCAGGGGCATTTTGGGAAAATTAAAATGGCGGCTCCTACTACAGGAATATTTTTGCCCAAAGAAGAGGCCAGGGAAAGACATCATGGGGAGTTTCCTGGCACACCCGCTGTGAGACATGCGTCTTCAAGCGCGCACGCAAACACCCCCTCCCCCCAAGAGGCATCAACTTCTGGGAAGGGGATTGAAATGACCTGGAAGAGTCTCTGACCTAGAAACACGCAGGAACTTTTCTGAAAATGCACCCAGTGAAACCTCCCCCACCCACAGCGAGACAATGACTTACTCTGGACAGATAAGAGGACACTAACTTAGACCTTGAACGGATGCCTGACCTGATTAGCGGCTGGCAGCATGCACATTTGCACGGGGGTGGGCCGTGCGCCGTGCAAGGGCGCTCGTGTTCGTCCAGCAAAGCTCCCAGATTCCAGGCTGGGCCTCCAGAAAGCCCAAGACCTCACGGGGCAACTGATCCCAACACCTCTCTTTGGTGACTGCAGACCTCGTGGCCACAACATCGGGAGAAGCTGTTGCACTCCCAGAGTTGCTGTGTCTCAACGCCAACCCTGCTTTTTGTACGTAGCCTAGCCTTCCCCACATGGGTGCCCTCCCTTAGCCTTGGACTACAACTCCCAGCATTCCCCATCCAGCATGCCCTCTTGCTCTAGGAAGGCCGCTCTAAGGACGTGAAACTTTAATGCATCGGGCCCTAGTGAATCGTATTTTCCTGCACCTTAAACTTTTCGCTCCTCTTGGTGGAAGATGGCAGATTTGCAGGGCCGGTTTTCCCAACTGGCTGCCCCCCTCCGAGCTTTTGTGGGAAGTTGTGCATGAAGCACCTGCCCCCTGCCCCACTCACCCCCAGATGCTGGGTAAGAGAGACAGGCGGTGGGAGTCCTGTCGGCTTGACTTTCAGCATCCTCAGCCGTCTTGTAGGAGTCCTGAGGCATGTCTATGGGGCGGGGGCACCCCCTGCAACCAGCGAGGACATGGAGGTAGTTGTCAAATGGCCCAGCACCCTTGCCAAGTGCACCCTGGCATGGAATTCCCAGCTCGTGGAGCACGGCACACGTGCATTCAACAATCGCTCCGATATCAAAGCATACTTCCCGGCCTACATGGCTAACCTGTGGAACTCACTGCCACAAGAAAGGGGTGGCCGCCAGCTCAGAGGCCCTTCAAACAGGATTAGACAAATTCACGGATGAGGACTGGTCTGAGATAACAGCTATTAGTCCCCGCTCAGCCATGGAGCCAACTGGGGGACGTTGGGCCAGTCACAGACTCTCAGCCCATCCTACCTCACAGGGTTGTTGTTGTGGGGATAAGATGGAGGAGGAGAATGATGTAAGCTGCCTTGAGCTCTTTGTAGGAAGAAGGCAGGATATAAATTGATAGATAAATAAATGAATAAATAAAAGATGGCTGAATGGACCTCCACTGGTATGCCATATGTTGGAGAGGACTGCAAAGAGAGGAGGTCACTGGAGATGCCCCCAACTTAGTATCTCCCAGATGGATTGGACTACAGCTCCCAACATCCTCAGCCAGCCGGGCTGGGGACAGCAGGAGTTGTGGTCCGGCCCTTCAGAATGGCATGCGTTGAGGAGGCTGTTACAATTCAAGCCCTGCTTGGGGGCGTCTCGGAGCCTTTGGCTGGCCCTGTGGAACTTCGCGTGCTGAACTGCAGGGGCCTCCGCACTTCCCCCCAGGTGAAGTCAGCTGAGCTCAGGTGAAACTAACTTCTGAGTAAATATACCTGAAGTGACGCCATCAGCCTGGAATCTTCACTGCCTTTCTTCATTTCGCCCCCTGCCCTTGTTTGCGCTGGATCTCCGACCGGACTGTTTCTTGCTGTGTGCGATTTATTCGCCGCAGCCGCCCAGCAATGCAAGGGCCGGGGTTCTGCAGGCACGCGTCTGGGAGCTGCCCCGGCTGACTGCCCCCAACACCCCCATGGCGTTCCCCCCCACATATCCTTGGCGGCCAGCTGGTTTAAGGGGAGCAGGGCAGGACAGCAGCCACACGTGCCCCTGCCTCCTCGCTCTGCCCCGTGACAGGGGCGGCCCTGGGTGGCCGATTCCCATCCCTGTCGGGATGACGCCGCCAGCCCCCCGTCCTAGTGCGGTGTTCTCCACAGGTGTGGGGCTCCCAATCCCATCAGCTGCAGCCGACCCGGCCAATGCTCAGGCATGATGGGAGTTGTCGTCCTGAGTCCCTGGAGACCACAGGTGAAGTGTGGCAGCAACTGGTGCCTCAGCCCTCTCTCTGGGCCACCCCTCCCTGGCCCAGCATCCCTGACCAGGAACCAGGCTGTCTGGGGCTGATGGGATCCGACGCCCGAAACAGCCAGAGGGCTGCAGGCGGGGGAAGGAGGGTCTCCGCAGGAGGAGGGGAGATGCGCCTGTCGGCGTCCGCCTAGACAGCTCCCCAAACCGAAGACGCCTCCGGGGCTTTGCACGGCCCAGGAGCGCCCCCCGCCCCCCAGGCTTGCGGGTGAGGGGCGGCTTTTCTGCGGGGGGGGCGGCTTTTCTGCGGGGAGACCGCGAGGGAGGAAACAGCTCTCGCATTCTGGGAGGAAAACGGCCCCGCGGCTCGGGAGGACCCCCACCCCTCCCTCCCCCCCTCCCTCCCCGGCGACTCCACCCCCTCGTCCGCCTCGGCGAGCCCCAGTCGGGGGCGGAGCTGCCTCCCTCTCCCCCCGACGCGACGCGCCCGCCCGCCCGTCAAGACGGGGCCTGACATCACTTCGCGCTCCTATATAGGCGGCAGCTGCGCTTTGTGAAGCCGGCTTTGTCAGGGCTGCGAGCGAGGAGCCGAGCGGAGCGTCGCGCCGTCGGTCGGCTGCCGAACAAAGGCCAAGCAGGCGAGGTAAATCTCACGCCCGGGGAGGCGCGGCGGCCCCGAGGAGGAGGAGGAGAGGGGGGGCAGCGGCATTCCTCCTCCCTCCCTCCCTGCCCCGCGCCCCCGGCCCGCCTCACGCCCCGTCTGCTCTGCTCTCCTCTCCGCCCGCAGCTCGCCACGTCGCCCGCCCGCGCCCTCCGCCCGCGCCCTCCGTCCCGCGCCCAGCGCCCGCCTGCGGGGTGCGCGCCCCGCGGCTCGCAGCCATGACGGCCAACGGCACCGCCGAGGCGCTCCAGATCCAGTTCGGGCTGATCAACTGCGGCAACAGGTACCTGACGGCCGAGGCGTTCGGCTTCAAGCTCAATGCCTCGGCGCCCAGCCTGAAGAAGAAGCAGATCTGGACGCTGGAGCCCAACGGCGACGACTCGGCCGCCGTCTTCCTCAAGAGCCACCTGGGCCGCTACCTGGCGGCCGACAAGGACGGGCACGTGTCGTGCGACAGCGAGGCGCCCACGGCCGACTGCCGCTTCGTGATCGTGGCGCACGACGACGGGCGCTGGTCGCTGCAGTCCGAGGCGCACAAGCGCTTCTTCGGCGGCACCGACGACCGCCTCTCGTGCTTCGCGCAGGCCGTCTCGGCGGCCGAGAAGTGGAGCGTGCACATCGCCATGCACCCGCAGGTGAACCTGTTCAGCCTGAGCAGGAAGCGCTACGCGCACCTGAGCGCGGCCCACGACGAGATCTCCGTCGGCCGCGACGTGCCCTGGGGCGTGGACTCGCTCATCACGCTCGTCTTCCACGAGCAGCGCTACGGCCTGCGCACCTGCGACCACCGCTTCCTGCGCCACGACGGCCGGCTGGTGGAGCGGCCCGAGCCGGGCGCGGGCTACACGCTCGAGTTCCGCGCCGGCAAGGTGGCCTTCCGCGACGCGCAGGGCAAGTACCTGGCCCCGTCGGGGCCCAGCGGCACGCTCAAGGCCGGCAAGAGCGCCAAGGTGGGCAAGGACGAGCTGTTCGCTCTGGAGCAGAGCTCGCCGCAGGTGGTCCTGCGCGCCGGCAACGAGCGCAACGTCTCCACCAGGCAAGGTAGGCCCGCGCCCGCGCCGTCCACGCGTGCCCTGGGCGTGGCGGCGCCCTTGGAGCCGCGGGTCGGGCCCGGCCGGTCGCGTTGCCGCTGTCCGCGCGCCCCTGCGCGCGCGCGCGTGTGCGTGTGTGTGGGGGGGTGCTTTCCGCTTGGCCACACGGGCCTGGGCCAGCAGGGCCCCCCGGGGGGGGGGTGGCGACCGGGTCCCCCGGGCAAGGCAACGGGGCAGGAGCAGCAGGAACGCCCGCGTCAGCCAGCTCGTTCTCTCTCTCCCCGGTCAGCATCCTCTGGGTTCACACCGCCCAGAACACCCCTTATGGCTTGAGGGGCTGGACACGTGCGAATGGAATGCATTTGAAGGTGTTGTATCTTCTGCACTGTGCTTTTCCCCTTCTTTGGCCCGTATTTTTGCCAAATGTGTGGTTTCATAATTCCCTTCTTTTCTTTTTTTCCCCCAAATCCTATACTGGTTTTTTCACTTGGAGAGCAGCTGTGTGTGAATGGGCTCCATTTGAGGAGCAGCATCGTGTCTTTTCCTCTCCCCAAACCATGGCATTTGCTTTAATCTGCACCTCTGTGGATTCTACATTAATTTTTCTGCCCTGGGTGGCAGTGTGCCTTAAGACTTGAGATTCAGGTGTGTGTGGACAGATTTCGTTGGAAGGCTTTCTGTCTAATGCCATTCTCCCCCCCCCCCTTTTTTTTTAATCCCTTCACTGCACCTTTTAGCCATAATCTGTTGGTGCAGAATTTTGCTCGGGGCATGCTTTGGTTTCTCTGTATCGGTGTGATGGATGGTTCATCGCTGGGAATGGGAACAGACTGTTTTACAGGCATGCATTCATAATTAAGGGTAGACTATAGGCTGAACTGTGGGTTATTATGTTGTCTGAACCCAGCTGTGCTGACAAACCATGGCTTATTAACTACAAACAGCCCATGAAGAGAACTCAGGGTTTGTTGCTGGGTTGTGACCTGTGGGTTGTTATCCATGGTTTGTCATCTCTTCTGGGCTCAAGCAAACTGATGAACTGTGGGTTCTTCTTGAAATGTTGATTTAAGTGGCAATGTTGGTTTAAGAGGCAACCCACACAATACCATTTCATGTTGCTTCAACCCTGGGCTTTGTTTCTGAGGCTGCTGTGCTCCCCAGGCACTCTTAATGGGGTCACATAGGCAAATTGCTGGATATTTTAGGATCTCAAATGGTAGTTTATGCACGTGTAGCTAAGGATTTGGTGGCTTTTTTTTGGTTCTGGGGGTGGGGGAAAATGGAGATCGCTTTGGATACAGCTTCATCCCCCGATTCCACCACTGCAGTCTGTGCTTGATTTTATTTTAAATCCTCCCACCTTTCCCACAGAAAAGCACCCAAGATGCTTCATTCCACAAAGTCATAGAGCCAACTAGTGGCATCCCCTCTGGAATTTGGGGTCCGATGGCCAGTGTGGTGATGTGGCAGTTTTCCTGTAGCAAACTCGCTTTCTCCCCACGGAGCTTTCCAGTGGATAGGAGCTCTCTGAAAGGAGGAACACCTTGGGCCCCTGTATTTGGGTGATGTACATTACATGGATTTGGGGGCGGGGGGCACCGGAAACTCCATCTGGTGGAGGGTTTGCCATCGCATGTGATAGGCCAGGCAGAGAATCATGTTTCAAAAGTGGCGCTCGGCATGGGAGGTGAGGTTTCTCCGTGTGTGTGTGTGTGTGTGTGTGTGTGTGTGTGTACGTACAGCTGCTAAGGGGGAGGGTTCCTTTCCTCCCAGCTCCCCCCACCCATCGCCGGAGTGCTTTGCTTTGTCCAGGGCCGGGCTTTTGCTTTTGTTACAGCCAAGGCAGGGAAAGAGATGCTCCAGAGCCCCCTATCCTGGGGGCATAATGCGGGGGAGCCCTGCCCCACTCCAGGTCCAGGGCGCTGCTGCTTTGGGTTGCTTGCTCCGAACTTAGGGGCAAGAGCAGCTGTTACAGATTGAAGGCCTTCCTCTGGGTCTCCTTAGACACACGGTGCATGGCCATCCCCCCCCCCCCCCCAAGAGTTGATAGGAGGGACGAGAGGCATAAGAGAACGGCTGTGGCTCATAGAGAGCGGGCAGGAGTTTCAGCTTCTGTCCAGTGGAAGGATGTTAACGTGGCCCACGGATGCCCCCCCCCGCCCAGCGTGGCCCACGGGGGCCGTGATGCCTCCGGACAGCTTGCGTTTGCCTGCTCTGGCCTAGGACAGTGTCTTCTCCAGCTCCAGGTGCTGTCACGCCCTTTCCTGTTTCTCTCCCCCCAGTCTCGCTTTTGCTCCCCCTTCCGCCCACTTTTCCTTCCCGGCCTCTCACGAGAGGCGCCGTCCCCCACCTCCATTAAGGGGAGGGTCTGCTGGGTCCGCCCACCCGAAACAAAGAGGCCAGGTGGACGGTTCCCCTCCCGGAGGTCTTGGGGTGCTTCAGCCAGGCCTCCCCCTCCCAGCGGCCCTCCCCTTCCAGCACGCTGCCCCCTCCCCAATCCAGCCATGCCCCCCCCCCCCGCCCGCTGTCTCTACCTGCTGTGCAATTATTTCAGGCTGCAAGTAGCATCTCTTTTCCCTTCCTGCTGCCTCCCCCCACCCCGCGCCCCCCACTCCCCACCTAGAAGGGGCAGATCAGATTACCTCGATCAAGGGCCTTGTGGGTGATGGTCTGGGGGGAGGGTGACATGTGACGGGAATAGAAAGATGAGGCGTGTTGATTGCAACACCAGGCTTCTAGTCTAGTCCCTCCTATCTGCTCCTCCTCAGCCTCTCCCTGCCACACCGCTCTGCCTCCCCCCCCCCATCTTCCCGGTCCCTTTCTTCCCTATCTTGTCCAATATGGCCCCCTCTCAGTCCCTCCCGCCTGCTTCCAGCCATTTGTTCCCGCCTGCTAGGCATCTGCAGAGCTCCTCTCCTTTCCGAAAGCAGGGTGGGAGAAGGAAAAAGCTTCAGCAGATGGTTTCCCCCAAAAATACATACATGCCCGGCCCTCTTCACGCTCAGGATGCATCTGGGTTTTTTGTGCTGAGCTTGGAGTCCTCCTTCTGAAGAAGAGAGCATTTAAAATTGCCCCGTTGGCTCGGAAAATCCTCGGTCTTGGTGACTCGTAATTTGGGATGGGCGGTTGTGGTGTTGGTGATCGGCTCGGCATTTCAGCTAAACTGCCTCACTCCTGTAGCTTGTTGGTGCTTTTAAAAAATCTAGGCTCCTCTTCGCTTTGCTCTGAAAAGCTGAGTCATCAGGACATCAAAAGCAGCTAATTCCACAAGGCAGAATTCTCCAAAGCTGCATTTTTTTTTTAGTACATGCAGTTGGAAAGGCAGTGATTAAGCGCTTGAATTACTTGCCTCTGCCCAAAAGAAAGATTTTATGGGCTCTTGTTAAACGCGCCTCATTTTAGGAAAGAGCCGCAGAAGGGACTTGCATTCACTGCCACAGCGTTTCTCTTTTCAGTCTAGCATACTGACTCGGCACTGCAGAAGAGGCATGCAGAGTGACGCTTAAAATGGCACCTGTTCTTAATTCTGCACTCCCACAATCCGAATTCTGCAATCTTTATCAATCATGCGGTTCTGTGCAGTTTGCATGCTTTCCCTTGATTCTGGTTTTAGGGCGGCACTGAGTAATCCACACAACGTTGAAGTAAATGCTGCCACCCAAACAGCGGAAAAGTCTAACCACTTCTGACCTCTAATACTTCATGTCTTCGTGGCCATAAGGACTAGGAACTTGAGATGTGCACGTTGCTTGTCAAAGGATGAACGCTGGCCAAAATACTGGTCAGCCTTAGCAATAAGCAGGTTCCCGAATCATTTGGTATCTGTAGAAACACTTGGGGATCCAAGGAACAGTTGAGGGCACCACCACAAAATGGTTCCCGTAGGGGGCCTGGCTGGTCCAAAGTGCATTAAAAGGGAGGATGGGAGAGAAATAATAGTGGCGGGTTGTGAGGGAAGAGAGAAAGCAACGCTACAGCTAGAAAACGCTCGCAAGGTTTTCATTGCACATTTTCCAAGGGTCTAATTCAAGCAGCTTTTTTCCCTTTTGGGAAGTCTGTGGAGAAGGGATAGCTTTGCGGGTGCCCCTGGGAGGGCCCTGTGAGGGGGACCCCACACTTAAAGCCTCTTCTGTGAGGAAGGGAGCGGGGGAAAGTGTAGAAAGCTCAGAAAGCACCCGATGCTTGGGAGATGTTTGGGGTTGGGCTGGGGTGGGGGCGTTGTGGCCAAACGGGGGGCTGTTAGGGCATCGCTACGCCTCCCGCTCCTGCCCGCGTCACTTCCCACCCCTCATCCTCACTGCGTCCCGCTGAAGCTGCCACAGCCCCATAAACGGATTGCAGCTGAAAATCTCCGCCGAATGCCTGCCTTCTAGCTGAGCGAGGCAAATGTGACCTACTTGAAGCCACACAAAGAAAGCTTTGCCTTCCCGGCTGGCTGTCCCCTTGGTGGAATCGCTGCCTCCCACCCTCCCTCCAAGTGAACTTTGGAAGCTTGCATGCGCGTGGTGGGAAGCCCTCCGGGCACTCCGGGGGTGCGCTGGCTGGCTCTCGACAAGATGCCCGCGCATGCGTGGTCGGGCCTGGAGGACGGTGGTTGGGTGCAGCTCCTTGGGCCAGCGTGCCGGATGCGGAGGGGGAATGTCGCGGGACGAGGGGGGACCGGTCTGCGGAACGCCTGTCCCACGGGGTGGAGCACGATGCTACCGGGCGGCCTTTCAACAAAGCCAATAAAATAAAAGCGCGACACGTGCGTGCAACCGCGTGGCTTGAAAAGCGCCAAAGTAACAACTCCAGCACTGGGGAGAGGCAAAGGTAGGGCCAGCCTGGCGCCATGGAGCGTGTTGTGGACTACAGTGCCCATCAACCCCAGCTAGTGCAAGAAATTGTAGTCTGAAATCTCTCGAGGGTGCCGAGTCAGGCAAGGATGGTGGATGATACCATAGTTGGAGTACGGATGTGGAGCCTGGAAAAATGCATGGAAAAATATGTTCCCCCCACTTTTGTTCAAAA